CCTCACACAAAAGAGCGGCTGCTTGCTGGGCCACACCCCAGGGAAGAGGAAAACCAGGAAAGACCGCTGCGTGTTTATGAAACTCGCCAGCAGCTGCTTCCTCTGCTGAACCCACAGCAATGGCGGCTTGGCCCTGCCTGACCCCTCCCAGGGCCCCCTAATTTGCCATCTGTTAGAGGGTCAGCACAGGGGTGACCAGCTATGCAAGTTGTCACCAGACAGGAAATGAACTGATGTCGGTCCCTCCATCTGATCTCGGTGAACCGAGCTGTGCTGTTGGCGTCTGGCAGGGGTGACTATGGGTGCAGGTGGGAGGAGGCTGGGAGATGTCCTACGAGTCTACGGCTCTGCACTCTGGCAAGAGACCTGGAACGGAGGTCCATGTGTCTGGGAACCTGTAGATCTGTCCACGTGCTCTGCTGTTGGGGCTGTGGTCCTTCACCCTGCCCTGTGCCTCTCTGGCCACATCTCTGAAGGGGTGGCTGGTGTGCGGGCCTGACTGGCCCCACATGCTTGCATCTTCATGCTGAACACAGGACACCAGGTCCTTTTCATCTGCATCAGGTTATACGGTCATCTCTTTTGGAAATCACTCAGCTAGTGAGCAATCAGGAAAGGCACTGAACCCACTCTCATCTGGCATGTGACTTCTGTCTAGACAAGCCTGCTTGCTGTGACAAGACCAGCCTCAGTAGACTCAGCAGAAGTGGCTGGCTGTCATAGCCTATTGCCCAAGGGGCTCAGTGGCTGAACTGATCTCCCAGGGTAACACACAATGTCACGGAGGGCTACAGGACAGGCTGCGATCCCCCAGTACAGGGCCCCCTTACAGCCTTTGAAGGGACGGGTCCACCTGCGGAAGCAGGTCCAGCTCAGTTACACAGGCAGCTGTGCTGTAGATCCCCTGTGCCTCAGTCACGGAGCCTTCAGGGCCTCTGGATTCCATTCACAGATGGGGACACTGAGCTCCAAGGGGAAGTATCTTGCTGAGGCCACAAGCCAACTCATCCTTCATGATTACCCAATGCTTACGGAGCCTCTTTTACATGCAGCCACCATCCTAGGCATTGCCCACGTTAAGCCCTGGATTCTGCTCTAAAGGCACCCACAATGTAGTTGAGGGGAACAAAGGAGCTGGTTAGTGACAGAACAGGCCAAAAGCCATGGCAGGAAGAAAGTGCTGGTGGCTATGACTATTCTGTTCTCGGGGAACAGAGAAGGCATGGTGAGCTGAACGATGGTGCCCTCAAAGATGTCCACGGTCTACTCTCCAGAACCTGTAAGGACACTACTCTGCTCTACAGCAGAGCAGACTTTACAGATGAAATTAAATTCAGGATCTTGAAAAATGGAGAGCCGATCCTGAGTTATTAGTGAAATCATAGGTTTTTAAGCAGGAGCCTGAGAATCTCAGAAGGTGATGTGGCACACAGGACAGGAGGAGGCCACAGAGGATGAGCAAAGCCCAAAGACTCCATGCTGCTGGCTCTAAAAAGGGAGGAGGACACCATGAGGCAAGGAACACAGGTAGCTCCAGAGCTGTCAGAGGCAGCTCCCCAGAGCCTCTGGATGGGACACAGCCCTGCCGACATCCCGATTTTAGCCCAGAGGGACCTGTTTCTAATTTCTGGCTTCTAGACCTATAAGAAAACACATCTGTGTTGTTTTAAGCCACTTAAAATTGTGGTGATTTGACAGCAGCCACAGGCAGCTAATACAGAAAGCTTCATCAACAGTGAGGTGAAGGTGGAACTGTGCTCCATCAGAGGGAGAGAGCGGTCCCGTCTAAGAGCTCGGGTGCGGGAAAGCGGGGAGAAGCTCAGCATGCCTGGTGATGCAGGGTGAGGCCTGGGTCTTGGAGCACGGGCACTGTGTGGAGACTGCTAGGGCTCAGCTCTGGCTTCTCGACCTTCTCTCTGTGTGACGTAATCCTGCTCGACTGTTTTTTTCTCATTTTAACTGAGGCTAACGACAGGACCTTTAGGATCTGGGGGTACTGAAGATGACAGTGCCTAACAGAGTGGAGCCAGCGAACAGCGCACCTCTGCTTGGGGAGCTCTCAAGGACTCGTGCCTCCACACCCTGCGAAGTGACCTTGGCACCATTCTGTGCACTCCTTCTCGAGCTCCCTCGATGTCTCTGTTTGAAGAACTCTGGGTTCAGCTCCAGTCTCACTGAGCCGAGCACTAGGCTTTTCCTGAGATTCACTGGCACGGTCAGCCCTGGTCCTGGGGGAAAGTCCTGCCACAAGCACGAACTCGAACAGCAGAGGCCAGAGACTCCTGCCCAGAGGTGAGAGCCACGGAGCACGACATAGTGGGCATTCACACAACTGCAGAACCTGTGAGGCAGACCCGCCCCCTGGGCAGCGGCGGTCCTCATCAGACGGTGCCCCCCACCCTGCTTCCAGGTGGACACCATCTTTGACTCAGTCCAGGGTCCTGCTTCTGTCCTCCTCACAGTCAAAACCAGGACAGCAGCATCCTGGCACTCACCCAGGAAAGGGCATACCTTCTGCCTTCCTGGCTCCCAGCCCTCCCTGCCCATGCTTCTCAGATGACAAAAGCAGAACCCTCAGTGCTGTGACTCCGAGTCAGTTGGGACCGGACCGAGAGGTCCTGCTGTGCACTGGGCTGAGGCTCAGGTATTTGGAGAAAAGTGATAAATAAGATCAAGTCCCTGCCCTCGTGTGTTCACAGCTAAACAGGCAAAAGACAGGTAAGGAGATTTTTGATCCCTTTCCAAGCTGTCTCTTTATGGTAAGCCAGATTTTAAATGGCAAAGCAACCACTAGACAAACCCTAGGCTTCAGAAGGACCCCGACACCCTAAAATGACACGCGTTAAGGAGCTGTCTATGCAGCTTCTGCTTCGGGTTAGCTCCATGTGGCCTCCAGTCTCAGCCCCCTCCCCTCCTTGCCCAGCGCAGAAGGCACAGCTGTGAATGAATTCGAACCTTGGAAGCAAGCAACTGTCTCCTAGCTCTTTGATCTTGGATGACTTAGTCATCACTCCCAGCCCCAGTGACCTCACCTGGAAATGACCCCATGTGGCTCAAAGGAGACAGTGGGTAAAGTTCTAGAAAGGTGCCAGCCAACAGAAGGTGCTTTACATAAGCCAGGACCAGATTCCTACCCCTAGCTATGATCGGCCAGAGCCAAAGAGGATAAAAAACAGGCCCTTCCTTTCCCTTCTAGAAAATAAACCCTGGTCCCCCTGAACAGTCTGTCTAATTGCTCGTGGCTGGTGCTCTGGGGTATAAAAGAGAGGAAGGCTGGAATGATCCCCACACCTTTTAATTTTTTTAATTGGGGGTGCAGGAGACTCCAATTAGGGCTGTGGCGCCGGCGAGAAGGAAACAGAGCAGCGGGCCCCAAGGGCTGGACTCCTGCTGAGCAGGGCCACAGAGAGGGACACGGGCAGCAAGGGCACCCTTCCTGCAAACACCCACCCCCGCTGTCACTCCACATGAAAGGGCCAGGCACCCGGCACAGGCTGGCTGGTGACAGCTGCTCTCCTTAATGCTTTGCTCCCCCAATTCTCTCCCTTCTGGCCTTCACGTGTACCAGTAAAGTTACAATTAAAAACAAAACAAAAAATAAAAAGGAACAGAAAGCAATGAAGACGGCCACAGAGACAGCCAGTCCGTCCCTTAGGCCAGGACTCCCACGCCAAGGCAGGCAGGCGGGCGGGCAGGCGCTTCAGATCCTACTTTGGTTGTGGTGTCCGCTCTGACCGGCCAACTCCTTCTCCTCACCAGCCCTCAGCCACCTGTCTCTATGTCTGCTGCAGCCCTGCCTGTTCTCCAGCTCTGCAGCTTGACCCAGCTGTACACACAGCTAGAACGAGGTTTCCTGGGGAGCAAGGGCTGAGTCTCATCCATCCCTATGCTTCCAAGCGCCTCTTCCCCACAGTGATTTCAGGAAAGGTTAATCAACTCACTGGCTTGAGCCTATGGTTTACTAAGTGCACACTGACTTTGCCTGAGCTAGGATCCCTGAGAGCCTTTGGTAAGACAGAGAGTGATATATATTTATATATGGTTCCTGCCTATCTGCAGGGAGACACATCATCAAATCAATCACAGGCTACATGCGGTTACAGAGCAGAATGGCTACTTTAGGAAGATGGGCTGCAGCCGAGCTTAGAAACCAGGACCAGAGAAGTAGGAAGTCTAGATTTCTCTCTTGTTCATAATTCTTACTGTGAATGAGCAAGGTTAATACTAACAACGGTGCAACCTCCATGCATGCTTAAACACCCAGCTTTTACCAAGCCTGGAGTTCTTGCCAGCCTGGAGTGGGCCCCTCGTGCTAGGTCAGGGCTGCTCAATGAGCTCTTCCAAACTCCCAGTGTGCATGAAAAGCAGAGCTCACTGGTGCAGGCTCAGAGAGGTGGGGCGCCTTATCCCACACTCAGGGGGGTTAAGAGGAGCTGGCCCATTCGTATGGGCGAGCCAACACGGGGCCCAACTGGTGACTTGATGCACACATCCTGGACCAGCGGGGCTCAGCCTCCAGAAAAAACCTCCCCTCCAGCCAACACAGGCTGAGGGCCCCAAAGGTCTCCATGGGAAGGGGAGGCGTTTTCCAAGAAGCAGAAAAGTTGTACTGAAGACCCCGTGTTCACCAAAGCAGTGTGTGAGTCCAGAGACTTCAACTCTGCTGCTCCCTTGACGAGTGATCCTGGGCAAGTTTCTGGCCTCAGAGACCTCATGCATACAGTGCATAGGCTGGACAATGTCTCAAGTCACTTCTAATGGCAGCATTCTGTGAACCCAGACCTTCTGAGTTTATGGAGAAAGAGGCTTTACAGACCCTTCACAATCAAAACGCACGGGCAGGACAGACACAGAAACGACTCATTAGCCGATGGCTCCTTGGGATGGACACCAAGAGGACAGTGGGAATGAGGGCTCCCCGCCTGCGTCACTGAGCTGGAAACATTTAACAAGCCATAGTCCTGGCTCTGCTTGCAGGCTGAGCGTCAGAGGCTACTTACTATGCAGCCAGCCACCAGAGCTCCTTGGGCAAACCCTGCCAGGACATCGCTGGGGTGGTGCTTGTGGTCAGATATGCGGGACAGTCCTGTGTAGAAGGCCATCATGATCAAGGTGAACTGCAGGAGGGGCCGGAGCAGCCGGGCACCTCTCCAGGTGAAGCGGGCCTGCAGGTATAGCTGGAGGAAGGAGACAAAAAGAACAGACTCCACATTACTCTCCACACATGGGCACGAGAACTCCAGCTCGACATGCACTCTATTTCTGCTATGAGGATGCATCCATTCTGGCGGTGCATTGCCACAGAGTGTTTCGTTTGGACCCGACCTCCAGCCAGTTACGTAAGGCCCAGCCTTCATGCTCCTAACAAAAAATAAGGAAAAAAAAGGAAAGATAATATATGTAAATGGTTTTTGCATGCTGCCTGGCACACCATAGGCACCTTAATAAACGTGGTTTCCGTTTAACTTCTGGATTGAGACTAATTAGAGAATAGTAACCAGGGTCAGAAAACGCTTTGTTTTACAATGGACACTGACTTTCAACACATTTGTGTGTTTTGCTGGCAATTAGAGAGATTGCATCACCTGCTTCTCAACACTGCCATGGAAATAAAATCCATGATGCTGAGGGAAAGTCATCACAATATTCACAGCATATGATCTACTTCAAAAAAACAGCCATTCCATCTGAAGGCAAATTTCTAAGTCACCACTAAGAGCTCTGGATTTTCAATTAGCATATAAGGAAACACATAAACTGGGCACACAATGCCAGGGAACTTTCAAGTGGAAATCAACAGACACTGGGCTGGGTGGAGTGGAAGAATAACCTGGAGAAAATGGAAGAAAAAAAACCCACCTCTGGCTGAAGGAAAGAAGCTGAAATGACGTCAACTGGGTATTGTCCCCTTGAAGTTATCTTGCTACAGTTTCCGTTCTAACCTCTGGGCACAACCTACTTCCCAGGTTCCTGTGGGAACTGGGGAAATGAAGAGGAAGAGGCAAGGGGACAAGGGGAACTTCCGACTGCAAATCAAAGCACTGGGAGAGGCCGGAGAGAAGGGAAAGGCAGAGGGAGGACTGCTGGTCTCCAGAGAGACCTGCCCTTCCTGAGTCAGTGCCACCTTCCTCTGGAGGTCAGGACAGAGCACCAGAGGGGCCAGAGGGCAGAGGGGCTGGGCCTGGGCCAGCCTGAGCCATGCAGGAGCAGCACAAGAGTCCTCCAAAGAGCCAGGTGTAGGAACAGCAGGTGGCTGTGGTGTGGCTCCATGTGGTGCCTGCCTAGCATGCACAAAGCCTCGGGATGATCCCTAATGCAGCCAAGAAGAAGGGAAAAGAAAAGAAAAAGAAAGAGGAAAACAGCAAAAAATTTTATAAGCGTACACTGGAGAATCTGAGAGTAACAAACAACTACCAGGAGGCTGCATGGACGCTGTTGGCTACGAAATAAATGATAAAAATCAAAGTTTTCCTCATATATAAATAATAGCCCATTAAAAATCTAAAAGCAGTGATAAAATCATCATCATAATACCAAAGAAGATTAAGTAACTACCCATTAACGAGAGAGAGAGAGAGAGAGAGAGAGACAAGATTTACGATGGGTGCGAAGGACACAGAAAGGAGGTCTAATTCCTATGCTATGGAGCACGCAGGGAATATGGATAAGTATACTATCGTGTTTCACAGGGATCCAGGAGAGAAGTTGGAGCAGGGTCAGTTACTAAGGGGAAAGGATAGCTGGCTTGAACCTGAATGGGCTGGCATCTGCTCTGGGTCAGGGAGACAGAGAGGAGTGTGGAGGGCTGAGAACCTGCCTTCCACAGCCCAGGCACTTCAAACAGTTCAGCACAGCTAGAGAAGAGTGCGTGGGGCACGAGGAGAGAAAGGCTGCAGAGACATGTAGGCACCTGTCCATGAAAGGCTCTGGGTGTCAAACTAAGGAATGTGGCCTTTATTCGGTAGAACATTTTCCCCAAACTGTATCCCAGGGAATAGTAACAGTCTTTAAAAAAAAGATGAGTGAGAGCTCTATACTAAGTACTTATTTCTGTTATCTAAAGTACTCACAAGATTATTACAGGCTTGAGAAGTTCTGTAGAAAAGACTTAATTGGCCTTCAATCACTACTTTTACAGAACATCAACCCACTGAACCACAAGTGGAAAATATTCCTATCGGAAATGCTGAACAACTAAATGTACTTAAGCCAGGCACTGAGTACCATAAAAAATGAATCTGGGTGCTCTTTAAGGACTCTGGGCAGAGCTGGGCCACACAGGCAATGCCAGTATCAGAGTGAACCTGCAGCTACAGGCCAAAGGCGTGTGCGTTCCTTTCTGCTGAACTGATCTGCCAGTGAGACACTGCCATTATGGATCAAAAGGTCCCTTGCTTTTGCAAGTGGAGACACAAGTCTTGAGAGCAATGGCAAGGTCAGAAGAAGGAATCTGCAGGTGCGCACTATGGTCGAGCCTTCCTCCTGCTGCTCCCAGCAGTGGCCGGGGGTAGGGTGGAGAGCAGGAGGAGCACAGGATTTCAGGAGAAGACCCTCAATGGGCTGCAGTTTCCTCCCAGTAAAGGTGTCACATGGATAAGGACAGGGCACAAGGTGCTACTCAATAAACAGATGATTTTATTCTTTAACTACTTCAACTAACCCCCAAATTTTCCTATTTCTCTCTCTCAAAAAGCTGCAGAAAACGCTTGTTCAACATCCTAGCAACCTTCCCCTTGCTGGCAGCCTGTCTACTTTAGGTCACAGGCCTTGGAATCCAGGGAGGGGCAGAGGAAGGGTGGATTTCCCAACCGGACAAAACCACATCTCCCCAGCCATTGACTCAGAGAACTTCAGGCTGGAGCTCCACACAAGAAATCAATACAGGAGAGGAACTTGTAGGGAGAGGAAGAGACCGGCATCAGAATAGCTCCAGGAAGGAGGGAAGTGCTCATGAATGAGAAAGGAGCTGGGGCCCTGGGAAAAGCTTTCCTGGGGAAAGCAGTAATGGCGCACACTCGGGGAGCAATGCTCAGGGATTGGCCCTGGTGCCCATAGCTGCAGCCACAGGGAAAAGCAGCACAAGAGTCAAGTTCGTTTCAGGGTGAGACAGCTCTGAGTCCAGGCCTGGTCTTGTCATTTACTAAGTACGTGGTCCTTTAACTTCTCTAAGCCTCAGTCTCCTCCTCTGTGAAACAGGTGGAACAGTATCTCCCTCTCAGAGTTGCTGGGATCAAAGAAGACAGCATGGAGCAGACTCTGATGGGCAGAGTTTGGGGCTCCAGTTTCAGAAATCTAGTTCACCCTTTTGCCCTGATAAATGAGATTTTCTCAGTGATGGGGATTTCACTAGAACAAGTAAATTACTGAAGAAAGAGATTGCACAGCGACCTTCCACCCAGCGGCTGCATCTGATAGAAGTCAGCTGCTGGCAACAGACTTTGAAGTTGACCGCAGAGCCCGATAACCCTCCACTCCACACCAATCTCACTGTTAAGTGAGTGTGACTTTGTTGGATCATGGCTTGTTCACATGAGCCACTCCAGACCAGATGTCTGAGCCTCTCTAGGACCTCAGAGTGCATCCTGCAGGCTGGGGACAGCAAGTTGCTACGGGTTCTGTTCATTCTCAGCCAAGGGGGCAGGCACACCTTTCTCAAGAGAGGAAGTCAAACCCGCTGACCACAAGGATGCCCCCATCCTGCCCCCATACAGCAAGGGGATATTCCCAGAATCAGAATACAAAGTCCAAGGCACCCCATAAGGGTTGCTTAGGAAAAGGGTGAGCAGAACTGGAAACACACAGAGCCTCCAGCACCCTGACCTCTCCCTGGCTGCCGCTGTCCTACCTGGAGCCACTTCCTCAACTGTGTGAAGGAGGGACTCTGGGCCGAGGAACCAGTATTTGGAACCCTCGTCCTAATTATCATTGGGATGCTGCAGCATGGCTGAGATCTACAGTCCTCTCTTTGTACTGTACTAAGATTTTACTTCCCATTGCTAAAACAGAACTGTGGAAGTGACAGGGATCACAATAAAAAAAGTTATGCATTTGCCTCCCTTCCTCTGAAAGGCTGCACATGAAAGTCCTTAGCAGACAGAAGTCACTCCATAAATGGAGTTCTCTTCTTGCTCCTGATCCTAGCTTCCACTGAGGTCCTGCAGAATCAGAATTCCAACAAAATCCCCCGAGACGGAGTTCCAGCTCTCCAGTCTGAACCCGCCGAGTCAGATGTGTGAGTGAGTCACAGGCTTATTCTTGCTAAGTCATGTGTTTCGTTACATGATTTGCAAACTGGGGAAACAGGTCTGCACTCTCTTCTCCTTTCATTTCCCTTGCTCTTGGGAAAATTCGGCTAAGAGTGAAAAGGAGGCTTTTGTCCTTCCCTTCCAGGAAGCCAGTTCACATCAATGACATCCAGAGAAAGAAACTTTCCTCCATGGATCCCACCTGGCTCTGGTTCATGGGCCTGGTAGCTTGATGACATGATAAGAAAATTAAAATTTCCCCCTGTGGAGTTATTTAACTGCTCCGAGGATAAAAGAATCTTTAGTTGACTTTTCTCCTCCCTTTAGAGAAAATCAAATCTGTCACTGCCAGGGGAAGGAAAGGAAGCTACCATTTTGCTGAGTGTGGTTGTAGACCTTGGGCAGGGTGTTTTAAATTATTTTACCTGCAACTGTCATGATAATCTTGTGAGATGGACACCATTGTGCCCACTTTATAGAGAAACCAAGGCTAAAAGAGGCCACATCACTCACTCAAGATAACAGAGAGCCATGACTTACTGAGAAAGTTTGCATTTTCGGAGTCCAGGATCTAGCTATCAAATACTGCTCTCCTGGGGGATTACTGTTTTGCACGCACAGTGTGGGTCTTTCATACCGGTCTCTTTGGTCTTCAGAGAAAATAAGCGACATGAGGGGACCATGCAGCTGTCATGTACAAAAGGACCCCCACCAGCGACGTTGGGAGCTTCAGGCTCCTTGAGTTCACCTGCCACATATTTTTATCAATATTCGTGCCTGAAACACAGGTGTCCAGCTTCCGTGGGAGCTGGAGCAGAAGACTCCCTGGCTGGTCTTGAGCCAGCTCTGGGTCACAGTGCAGGGAGAACCCCTTCCTCTTGGTGCCACCCTCTCCCATCTTGAATCAGAGCACTTCTCCAATTTCTCCACAACTACTTACTTTTCTGGTTTCCCCCACAAAACAGTGAGCTCTTTTCATGTCTCCAGGTGCTCACTGAAGGTCCAAGTTTCTAAGAACTTGTTCTCAGAAATGGATGGACAGATGGATGGATAAATGACTGAAGGAGGTAGGGAGGGAAAACATCTGGTACAGGGTTCTGTTCCCTTTGGGGAATTTGCTCCTGCACAGGGTTTGGCACACTGCACCAGGATCTGTGGGTATGTATGGCTCTCGGGCACACCAGACCCCTGGCTTAGATTCCACCCATGTTGAACAAAAACCTCAGTGACTAACAACCACAGCCCAGAGAACACAGCGGTCAGAGGGCAGCCACTTCCCTGTTTCCTTGGAACTCAACAAATGCTCCGACATATAAACAGTTCTCACGGGGCAACACAGGGTTCCACAAAGGTCTTTCCTGCACCACATGGGACCTTAGTGATCTATCAAGTCAGTGGTGAAAAGGCAAAAGAAAAGGTGGGAAGATCACAAGTTAGAGGCCAGCCTGGGAAACCTAGCAAAGCCCTGTCTCAAACTAAAATTACAGGAAAAGGACTGGAGATGTAGCTCAGAGGTAGTGTGTTTTTGCCCAGCATCCAGTGCACGAGGCCTTGTGTCCAACCTCCTTGAACAACCATCACCCAAAAAAAAAAAATCTCTCCCTCACAGAACTTGTAATTTAGTTGGAAAGACAAATGAACTAACCAGTGAATGAACATTAGAAACAGAGGGAAAGTCAGGCTGCAAAGAGAGACAGGAAGGATCAGTACTGGAGGATGGGACTGTCATTTTAAATGGAGTGTTCTGGGAAGGCTTCTCTGAAAAAGGTGACCTGAAGGCAGGGGACACCACGTGCACACTTCCTGCAAAAGAGCACATCCAGTAGGGAAAGGCCTTGGAGCAAACCTGAGCTGAAAAATGAGGAGTTAGGACTGATGATCCCAAAGGACAGTGACAAATCCTCAAATGTGCTCTCTACTTTCTGCTTCCTTCCAGCCATCAAAGCTGTACCGAATCGAATGCCTGCCAACCCCCGCATTACCATCGCCTTTCCTTCTGCACACAGGTAGTTCTAATCTCTCGTATCTTCACAGGACTAACCCTGCTCGAAGCCTCCCTGGCTTTGGCCACCCTCTACTCCAGGTGAGCTTGGGTGCCCCAATTCAAATGCTGCACTACATACCCACCGAATGCTGAGTGCTGAACGCACAAGTGAGTTCAAGGGCAGGGCCCGGGTCTGACACATCTCTGCAGCCCCAGAAGCTAGCAAAGAGCCTGACACCATGGAGGAGATGCCAGGTGTGCCGCGTGGATTGGTGTCTGCCCTGGTGTTGGCATTTTATGCAGACGACCACATGGTCCTCAGTCCCCGCCCAGGGACAAGCAAGGCCGACACATGTGGTCCTCTGGGGTACAGAGTGGGCTCGGAAGTAGGAAGCATAGTTTATGCCTATATAGGCTGTGGGGTTTTTCTTATTAGAATCTGAATTCATCTCTAAAAAGCCTTAACCTCATCCTTACGCTTCTGTGCCCAGAGATAATTTGGTGTTCGGGGCATGGTTTTTCCAAGCTATCCATTTTGCAAATCAAAACCTAATACGGAGAGCCCTTCAAAGCCGTTGAGGCTCTGGATGGTGGCCGCTACTGACAGGCAGGCAGTAGGGATGGCAGATGCTTCTGGTCGGCTGCTGTCTTTGAACTTAACAGCAACATGAGAATAAGTTTGTCCCTGATGGCTTCCCATCTTTCTTTTCAGCGTAGAGAGGAGTTTAAACTTCTTTCAAATAGAAGCACAGAAATCGAGCGATGAGTAGACCTCATCTAAGCCCACTCTTTACTTTGACAGATGGGACAAGTGGGGGCCAGAGAGGGAAGTGGAGACAACTCTGCAAAACAAGCACAACTGTGTCCACTTTGCAGGTCAATACACTGAGGCGTTCATGCCGAGTACCCCTCAGGGTTCCATGCCAGTCACTGCATGGCCAGTGTGGGTCCACATCTGTCTTGACTGTAAAGGCGAAAGCTGTCAATACTACACCAACTGGCTCCGATGTGGAACTCCAGGGAAGCTATGAATCACTGGCAAATTAGCAAAAGCACAGGGTGCCCTCCCCAGGGTGGGGGGTGGGGTGCTGGGCTCTGATTGCCCCACTCTGGCACCTCTGGGAGCACGTAGGTAAAAGCTCTGGGGAGGGTCCAAGGCTTCTCTGACTGATGCAGGGTTCTCACCTCCTCTGGCAGGCAGCCCCAGGGTCCTTCAAACTTCTTTCAGAAAGCTTTGCAAATCAGACAACAGACATTGTAAGGGCTAAGATTTCTGGGTAAAAATCACATAAAAACCAGCCCTGGTAAAGAGCACCATGTTCATTTTTGGCCCTTGGCTTCAGAGGTGGTTGCAGAGAAATACTTTTAAAGGTAAAGTCAGAGATGTGTGTGTGTGGGGGGGTGCGCGTGTGGAGTGCCCGTGGGTTGTGAATGGTGAATGCATGTATATTTGCAAGCGTGTGGGGTGCACATGACCAGAAGGGGGGCTCTGATAACACATTTAGGAGAGGAAGGATTAGAGGGCCTCTTCTCCTTCTCCCTCTCTCTTCCTTTTCTCTCTCCATCCCCTCAACTCCTTCCAGCAATGCAAAGGCACCACAATTTTCCTCCTCCCTTGGAGAAGTGCAAATACACCTATAATCAAAATACATACCTCCTCCTCATCATTCCCACAGAGATTCCTTGCTACAGCTAAAGCTGGTAAGGGGGCAAAGGGGGAGTTGGGGGCTCTCCCCATTAAAGCAGATCTGGAGAAAGGTACGTGTCCTCCAGGTGACATTAAAATTAGGCTCCAGAGCTTTTCTTTCCTAAGTTTGTTCTGAAGAGGTTTTTGTTTGCTTTGCCTCTTATAGTGTTGTACAATAAAAAGAACGTGTAGCAATGCTAGGGTCATAAAGACCAGCCCTCTAGCATCTTTTCTGCCTGCACTGGCTGTGGAACTTACGTTATTTAATTTCTTACATTCAAGTTTATTTCCAGAAACAAGATAATTAAAACACTTCTCATCAGGATACTGAAAGAAACAATCCTACATGCAAGCTGGATACAGTGCTTGGTACAAAGAAGGTCCTCAAAAGATGTACCCCAAACACAGCCCCATCCTCACCTTTTGGGTGGCTGTGAAGGATTCCTGCCCAGTGTTGGCTTTAAAATAATCCAGTACTTTTCTTTTGGAACAAAATAAAGGGGCATGAAAGAAATGAGCACATCCCCAACTCCTCTAAGCCTTTCACAAAACACTGAAATTACATTTATAAAATTGCTTCCAGCCCTGACTAAAATATACACATGGAGGAAGAACCTAAATATCTTTGCTAAGTTATCTTTTCTCAGAGCAAAACAAAACAAAAAAAATGAAGAATGGAGGGAAGTGTTATTCATGAATACATAAGTTCTAGTTTAAAGTTTTTAAAGTGTTGGGCCACCTTTTAGCTCTGTCTTAGGCAGCAAGAACTCAGGGGCCCCCAAACTTGAAAAGACGTGGGGAAGAAGCAAAACAAATGATCTCTGTTGTTTTTCTACAATTCCTAATCATGTTTTCAGAATAAACCAAAATCAAAACAGTCTTTTTCCAAACAGCTTATGCCCTTCTGAGCTACGTCTGACCTCTCAGCACCCTGTTGCTCTGAACTGTACCAAAGCAGCCGAAAGCAGGAAGGGTCCTGGCACACAGACCTCATTTGCGGAGGGGAAGGCAGGGATGACCATATTCCACCAACAAAGAAAAACAGAGCGGCTCCTGTCGTCGTGCAGCTGGGGCAGGCATGGGGTGGGGGCTGGGCACCTGTACTATCCCAGCACCTCCAGGAAACCCAAGCAGACACAGCCAGGCAGAGGCAATGTGGAGATGCATATACCAGGTCACCACTGGTTGAAGGAACTGAAACATGCTCCTTAATCTCTCAGGACCAGAGTCTCTGGATCCAAGAAATGCAGACCCAGTGGAGTTCTGAGGCCACTCATGTGTGCTCATGGATGCAGAAGTATTTTAGGAGACTCCAAATCACTCTCAGAAGTCAGGCACTGAGGGTCAGTCAAGCTTTTCCATCAGCAGAGTAAGGAGGAAAACTGAGGGGGTGAATACTACAAGGAAGTGGAACTGAGGGCTGGGACTTGAGTGACAGTTCTGGTGTTTATGAAAGTGCAGGCAATTCGCTTGGAGTTTCCAAGCCTTACTTGGTAACCTTTTCCCACAATACAGAGAATATTTTTTATAACACAGGTTGTTCTAAGGATTCAACGACTTAAATGGGTTATTAGAAAGCAGTGCTTGTACCATAAAATATTATACAAATGTCATGAGCAGCGCATAATTTCAAAATGGGCACACAATCCTTATCAAGCAACATAGGAAACACTACTTTTATCTGAAAAATGGAAAAAACTTGGATCATAGAACAACTTCTGCTGTGGCAGAATGAGCTCAGAACGAAACCTAACTGTCCTCACTAAACTCTTTCTCAGGGATTTTACAGTGAGATTGGTTCCTAGTTATTCTGAGAGACTCAGGCTGGAACTAGACTGTGTTCAAATAGAAGGCAGGTACTTACCACCAGATACAGCATGGTGTACATGGAGAAGGAGGCGTGGCCAGAGAAAAAGGACTTCCTGCAAAAGCAAGAGAGGGCCATGAAAGGACATAGTTACATCCCTCATATTCACTTGTCTGTCTGTATTCCCTTGCTAGACCGTGACCTTAAAAGCAGGCTTTGTGTCTTGCTCATTTTTGCATCCTAGGTGGTGCTTTGGACACAGGCAGGATGAATAAAGAATGAACGAATGAATGGATATACCAATGCTACATCAAAATGGTGTATTTACATTGTTTTGCAGTCATTTGGCCATGAGTTCCTCCAGAATAGGGAATATGTCTTATTCACTCATCTAAACCAGAGCACAGCCTGGGACCTGGCTCAGTCAGTACTCACTGAACTCCCCTGTATTGGAGGGGTCCCCCTGAAGCCATGGGAAGGCGGTGGCTCACCTGGCTTCCTGAACTTTGTTGTCAGGGCCTCTGCATTGGTAGTTCTGAATGTAGCCCTGGGAGCAGTTGATCTGGCTGATATCAGGGTCGCAGATGCTGAGGAAGTAGGGACGCAGGCGCCCTATGGACACTTTTGCTATGTCGGTGAAGGACTGGCTGATGGCACAGCCAAAGAGGAAGCAACCCACTTGCTTATAGAGGGCCGCCACATAGGGATTCTGAATCGTGGACCGAGACGTCTCCTTCAGGTAGTAGATCCGGTAGAATTCTCCTGTGATGATCTAGAAGGAAACCGATAAGGGAATTAGGAGTATCAAGACCCATTGTCACAACTGATGCTGCAAAAGACATTTAATGATAGAGAATGTTCAGTATTTAACTACAGGTTACAATCTATAAAATTTGATTTTTATTTAGGAAGGGTGCAGATACAAATATGAATGGGATCAACATGGGCATCATTTCCTCTTTTAAAGTCCTACATGGCCATATAATAGCTTTATAATAAGAAAAAATGTGTGTGTGTGTGTGCGCATGTGTGTGTAATAAGAACTTACGTACAGGAGGGGATGGGGATAAAAAAAAAGAATTGAGATGTGTTATGTACATGCCCCAATTCCCCAGGAGAAATGTGATCATTATATACTGCAAACATGGACTAATTTTTAAAATTGAAGAAAAAAAACCCTTATATACAGGGGGAAAGTAGATAAGGAATCCAGAACATCAGAGCACTGGAGAAAATCCTGGGACTGTGAGATTTGGGGTGAAGAATCATCAACAGTGGTCTGACACTTCATCAGCCTTTGCGCTGACATGAAGCCTGGGGTCGGGGAGTAGCTCACACACCCCAGTCAGGTCCTGAGTCTGAATCCGGGCTCAGGGGCTTGCCTGGTGTCCTTCAGCAATAACCCAACCTCCCCAGGTCTCGGCGTTTTTCCCCGATAAAGGAGGCTGCTCACCGTTGCAGAGTTGGTGTACATTGGACAATTTGGGTGGGAATGTGTGGGGTCACAGAAAGGAATGCTCTGATTTTACTTTTTAGAAGAATGCTGTTGTGGAAAGAACACATGTCTAAAAGCAGAGACTTTTACCACACTGCCCTTGGATGTTCGTGAACGTGCTCTAGTCCCTGGTCCTCATACCCTTTCTCCATCCCACTGTGACTATCACTGGCCTGAGCCTGCCTGGTTTATGTTAAGCATGGGACCAGCTGCCACTATGTCAGGTAAACTTTGAGGACGTCTGCACAGCAGAAGATCAGCTTCGCTTTGGTGATGCACACCCATGCTGCCTGCTCCCCTTGTCTTAACACACAGCACAGCGATGGCCACTTCCTGGTTGAAACCACAGCACAGGACAGCAACGGTCCACTTATCCCTCACCGCAAGTCCCTTTCATACTTCCTCAAAGGGCAGGATGATGAGCCACACTCGCCTTTTCAGGGAGCAGAGAGCATATTTGCGACCACAAAGGAAGCAATAGATATGCACATCCTTTGCAAAGGCTCCTAGGGGTAAGGTGTCAAAGCATGAGTCTGACCCAGGTCATGCAGGGCCCCAAAGTCTGGAGAAGGACAGTGGGTAGGATGGAACAGCAGCTGGGCCCCGTGACCAACAGGCACGAGTGAGAATAGCTCTTGCCACTGCTGAGGCTGACGCGGGCACTCCATGTTGATAAATGCTTTGTATGTGGAAATACCACACTGTGTTTTTCCAGGTCACATCCAGTGTGACTGTGCATGCAGGGCCATCATCAAAGCCAGTGCAGCCAGTGTCCTGGCCTAGCCACTTCCCGAGCGAGCAGAACTAATGTCTAAGCCTGCACAGGTGCCCCAAGCCTGTCACTGAAGGAGGAAGGGAAGGGAGGGGAGCAGGAGAGGAGTGCTCAGAGTTGCCGCATTGCAAAATTGGAAATATCCCCTAAACATTACCAAGGGCCCTGTGATAACACATTGCAGAGATTAAAATCTAAGAAGCGTGGCAAGTTGGAAATGAAAGGGCCATTATATACAGAAGAAGCTAGGTCCAAATGAACTCACATCCAAAGATTAGACCCAGGTGTACTGACTCCCCACCCAGCATTCTTTCCTACCATTTGGGATCTCATTCCCCTTTTGAACCTGTTTATACTTTTACCCTATGTAACCTTACAGGCTAACAAGTTCCAGATGTTCAATGCCATAACTCATGTTCTTGTACTCTTTCTTATTCTTCTTTATTTATAAATCATATTCACATGTCTTTATATTCGGGGGAAGAACAATGAACTAGGAGTCAAGTGGTCAGCACTGGAGTCCTCACTTATTGAGCAAATCTGAGATAAGTCAGATTCTCCATTTGCAAAGTCATGGCACTAGATTTCATGATTTATTACCTCATAATTGCAATGACATTTATTCTCAACTCTCTGGTGCTACCTCAACCACTAGCTTCCCAACCAAGTCAAGGTAATATGCAATAGTGGAGGAAAGTTCCTTATGAAAAGCACCACAGGTAAAAAGCAGAATTGAGGCTCCAAGAAGAAGCCCTGCCCCTGGATTGCTCCAGAGTTCCGGGAACCATGGCCCTGCTTGAGATGCAGGAACTGCTTCTAAGCAGGCTTGGCTGGAGCATAAACAACATGCTTTCCTGTTTGATCCTGAGAAAGAACCAGGGTTTCTACGGCAAATCAGCATCTCTTACATGACTTACCCATCACTCTCAGGTGAGTCACCCCTGTGCCTCAGTCACTTTAGGGAAAGGGATTTGATTACACTCTAAGGACTCTACAATTCTGAGCCTGCCCCTCATCATTCTAAAACTCCCACTGTCAGTGCCACAGTTTTCAAATAGTACACTGTGAAATGTAGGAAGACAAAGAGGAAGAAAACACTTTATGGCATTCTCGAGTTCCTAGGTATCTTCATAATAACAGTCATCTCTCACATTTCCTCCATACTTTAGTTCCATTTAATCTGCAATACTGAGAAGAAGGCATACCCATTCCACAGATGGTGATTCCAAGGCTCCTTTACCACAAGCTTTCCAACCAAGCAAAGGAAGCACGAAATAGCAGCGGGAAGTTACTTATGAATAATACCACAGGCAAGGAGCAACCAAGGCCCAGGTAGCACTGGTGATCCGAAGTTACAGGATTCAGAATCGAGTGCAGATACTCTATCTCTCAGGCCCAAAGACCCACAGCAGTCTACGTGAAGATAAGGTTATTGTATCTGCTGTTACTAAAACCATTTTCCATGGTAGAATGGCAGTTATAGTTTCGAGGCCAGGGACAGGCTGAAGCCATTTAGCAGACACATGACTCCAGGACCACATGGCTTCTGGGGCAGCCCTGACAGATTTTGGAGTTAATGAGCAACATATTATGTATTTTCTTTATCCCCTTGTACAGAAAGGTTGGGGAGTTGACAACAGAGCCATAAATCATCATTATGAACCAGCCGGACTTGGCTTCTTGTAATCCTAACCTTTAAAAGCCCATTTAATGAAATTTGGGCAGTGAGAGGCAGCCCCAACCCCGTGCCTCTACAGGAGAGGTGAAGGCTTATTCTCCGGCGTGTTCCACACCAAACTCTGGAGTCCCAGATTTACTGCTTTCGGACTTTATTCATTACTCACAATGTTTTCATTCCTGGGTAATAAAATGAGCTCTTCCCTCCCCTACCCTATCCAAAGGCTCTGTCCCCACCCCCCAGAGCCCTCCTTTCTGCCACAGTCAGCAAGGTTCTGATATGTAAATCTCACTGCTGAGTAAAAGGCCTCTGAGGTCGGTCCTTTTTGAAAGAGCAAGCAACAGATCTACGGATTCGGATTCTCGGGGTGATGGCTGGCTGCCAGGCAAGCAGAGCCTTCTCTCCTACCTGCCTTTAAAAGTGCTCGGCATGGCGTCTGGGAACTCATAAAGTGGGAAAGCATGGCAATTAAGGTACAAGGGGACAGAGGGGATCAGTCCCCGCCTCCGAGCCGCAGCAGTTGGCAGGGAAGTTGTCTCCAACTGGAGGCAGCACCTCTTCCTGTCTTTTCTGGAGAAAAGGAGCTCAACTGACCACATGTTTGCAAACATTTAACCATTCTGCCGAGGAAATTTGGAGGAACAGTAAGACAGACTCTTTTGGAAAGGACCGGGAATGAGGTAGGAAGAAAAAACACCAACTTAGGAGCTAATGAAAAAATTTCAGGCTGAATCCCATCTATGACTCTGAGTCTAATGACTTCACCTGTCTGGGTTCAGGTGTCACCATCAACAAAATATGGATAATAATATCTACCTGTTGGGCTTGCCCGGGATTCAGTGAAGTGATATAACATCTGGTATCTAGGCACCCCCCAAAGTTCATGGCCTCCCCCCGGCCCCACTAGAGAAGGGGAAAACAAAAAGAAAAGCAAAAAACGAACATATACTTCATGGAGACTATCTCCTTTACTTCCAAGAGCTCCTGGGAAAAGAACACTCCAAACTGAAGAGTTTGGAAATATTACCCCTCCGGGGCAGGGGCAGAAGCAGAAAATATGTGCATGGTTGACCTTGGTTTTAACCATTTCATCTAGAATGGCTTTTTCAGGGAAGAAAATCCAAAGAAACCTGAAACAGAAAGGTCAACCTTGTGTGTTATTTTTAGCATTCCATTCTACTTATAAATCACCCCCCCAAAGTAATATTTTTGCACACAATGTCCCAATAATCCTTCTTTTACAGCCAGAGAAGGCTGTTTGAAGGACAAACTTGCCTACATTCTGATGCACTTTGACAGTAATATTTGTGCAGCACTTTAGAACTTACAAAGCACCTTTGCATCTCCTGTGCTGTTTGTTTCTCACAATGCCCTGTGAGTTACTGAATTAGTACCGACCCTTTTTAAGTGAGAACAGTGAAAGCCAGAGGCTAATGATTTACCCTCAATGGAAAATGAGGCAAGGCCGCATGGTTTCATGCACACTGAAGCCTGGGCCTCTTCTGACTCCTGAGCACTTCCAAGTGGCACCAAGCTGGCTATGGATTTGATGCCCCAGCAGGTAGCCGCTTCTCTGCCTCCAGAGAGACTGAACACCTGGTAAGGGCCTGAGACCCCCCAAGGCATCTGTACAGCTAAGTCCTCGATAGCCACGGAGTAGCCAAGTTGTTTTTCACATGAACTTCTTTCTGCCTGGAAGAGATTCGTTTTTCTCAGTTTAGTTCTCAGGCCCAAGGGAAAGAAAAATACAATGTGGCTGGGTCCTGCTTCTAAGGAGAGGGACAGAAGAATAGCTGTGTTTATTCCATCTACTGCAATAAAGTGCAA